GCCTCAGTAAATGGTAAAATTAATCAATCAATATTTAGTCTCAGACAAGACGTGCTTTTCAGCTCTAACTTAATATACTAGAAATGTTGACTCTGCTGTGTGAATCTATGTTAAGGTGTCGGTTTTATATTGGTGACTTCAAAAAGCTAGACAGAACAATACAAATTTCATTTTACCTGTATGTAATAACTGTTTAGTAATGAACAGTAACTGTATTTATGGTCTTAACATGATAGCAGTCCTAAATAATTTAAAGAACAAATTTTAAAAGAACATTTAAAGAACAAATACGTGCTGATTTTCCCCCTTAAGGGAGATAATCTCTTGCTCTAAATTTAGAATAACAAGTTTGCCTTCTAGACAATAATATAGCCGGCAAATATCAGGCTTATGCTCGCTATTGTAAGCAATAAAGGTGGATGGTGACATCATCTCCCATTTCAAAAGAAAGTGAAAAGATGCCAAACTTCAATGAGTTGGAGACTATGAGGCAGTGCAGGGTGGTGCTCAAGCCTACACGTCAGCTCTGGAGTCAGGCAGGACTCATTTTCAGTCCCGTGAACATGACCTCCCCTGAGCTTGTCTCCTCATCTCTGTATCTGGACAAATATACTAGAACACACTTCAAAGAAACGTTGTTAGTGTCAAGAATAAAGCGGTTGGTACAAAGTAAGTTAACAATTGATACTGCTTTCAAGTTCTCTTACCTTTCTCTATTTTTTCTTTTTCCATAGCATTTCTCATCTTTTTTTATAAATTAAATTTAAATGCTACAAAAAATACAACAAATATCGAGTCAACACACCCATCCAAATACATGTATCATCGTTGCATTTGTTGTGAGCAGTTGAATCTGTCCACTGTGCTGCTGATCTAGTATCAAGTTGTCTCTTATTGACAGTGTCAGTGGCTCCTGACTATCACTGTTATATGGTCAGTTTGTGTCCTTGCCATATTGAACAAGGGGTAGGACACTACAGTATGACCCACAGGAGAATACAGTGACTTTCTTAAAGGGGTCCATACAGGTTTGTGAGTGAAAGCCTTCCCACATTCTTTTTAACCTGATATTAAGAGAAGATGTTTTAAAATGCCACATTTAGGGGATGTATAGCTTCATCCTCACACAGAATGCCATCCTTTACCTCAATGAAAACTGCATAAAGATAATTAACAAACTCACCTAAAAGGTCTACCTCAAAAAAACAGACAATGATTTATCTAAAATTTTTTCTATGTCTATCAGTTTTTAGTGAGATTTACTCCATTAACATAATTATCACCTCTTCATATTGTAATGAAAATAACATGTTATTTACAAATACTGACTATATATCTACATAAACATTTAAACTGCAATACCAAAAATAAAAGTACACATACAGAAGCAAATGCACAGGTATAGAATAATATTCTTGTAACTCTAAAATGATAAATAATCTAGAAACAATCTTAACGCCGTTCTTTTTACTTTCAAGAAAACACTACTATTGTTGTTAAAATAGATTTTAAATATACAGAGTATTGCAAAACCTGAAACAATTCCCTTGGAGGAGAGAGTATATTTCCCATGCATACTATACAATATTTTTAAAAATTAGGAATAGGTTTTAATATTTTTCCTACATAAAACAGTATTAATCTGTGAAAGTGGCTAATAAGGCTTTGATATGTAATTTAAGACATTTGGTTAAAGGAAAGAATCTGATAAACCTTAGGCTGGAATGCTAAGCACAACCGAGGGTGTGTGTTGACCAAGGCACACTGGCATTACTTTGTAGAGCCGATCAATAGATACTAGCTTTCAAAAGAGAGATTTAGAAAGAAGCTGCAGCATATTTTTTAAATGACAGGGTGAAGGTTTAAATTGTCTCAATCAAGACTCAATTTTTCTTCCCAGTTTTTCCAGCTGTCCTCTTCCAGTTAAGACTCTTCATTTCAAATAAATTTAATTAGTTCCAATTGATCATCGCCAACACTTACACAGCTTTATCCATGCTTCTTTACTTTTACACAGCAAACACAAAGACTGCCAAGCTCAGATCCAAGTGTCGTTAAGACAATATTCATACCTCATTTGCTCTTACTCAAAAGAAAAATTTCAAATATGAAATTCTGCCTATACAAAAGCACTAAATTATACTTCACATTTTAATTGCTATCTTGGTCAGCTGTTGAATTCAGTTAATTGAAGAATTAAGCCCCAGATTACTACAAAAATAAAATTAATACAACTATGTATATTAGCCTAGCTACAGCATTCAAATAAGAATTCATTCAAAATACAAGCAAATATCTGTCATGATATAATTTCTATTTGGTTTTTTTTGTTGTTTTTTTTTGTGGTACGCGGGCCTCTCACTGTTGTGGCCTCTCCCGTTGCGGAGCACAGGCTCTGGACACGCAGGCTCAGCGGCCATGGCTCACGGGCCCAGCTGCTCCGCGGCATGTGGGATCCTCCCGGACCAGGGCACAAACCCCTGTCCCCTGCATCGGCAGGCGGACTCTCAACCACTGCGCCACCAGGGAAGCCCGATTTCTATTTGTTTTGAGGTGATATTATTAGAGGAATTCCTTTTAAACAGCCAGGGGAAAAATCAGATTTTTCAAAGTGAATGGCTAAATTGGCCAGTTTTCCCTTTTGTAGTACCTCTTGTGCTCTACAATGCTGGTTATCCCAAAATAAGATTATTTTGCTTGAAACAGGTTTCTCTCAATGCACCTACCATATTTTTCATAATGCAATTTATATAGGATTCTAGTCAATAAAAAGAAATACGGTTTTCTTCTAAACCCTCACAGAAATCTATACCACATCTTAATCAAGCCACACAATCTAAAGGTAGCCTGAACGATCTACGGGCGGCAGCATGCTCGCTGCTCTGACAACATGTTAAGGGAGCCTTTGGCGTCATTTAAATTCTTTGGCTATTGAGCATTCTTGCTTCTAGTCCTCATGGCATGAAATGAGTAAATCAACTGATAAAAGCCATACATCACATACATTTAACTGAACTCTTACAGATTAAAATATAGTTTATGTAGCATTTATTCATTTATTATTATTTTTTTTTTGCGGTACGCGGGCCTCTCACTGTTGCGGCCTCTCCCGTTGCGGAGCACAGGCTCCGGACACCCAGTTTAGGTAGAATTAACTGACTCTCCAAACTAGATTTTTCATTTTTTCTTGATTTTTTTAACAATAAAATAAGCACACAGTCATGTGCTATAATGCTGTCTCGTGACTTCAGCACAGCATAATTCAAAATTTCAATGTACTGATTTAATAATACTTACTCGAGAGCTCAAAAATTCAGCTTTTATTCTGGAATGCAAATTGAGCTATTCTACTACTGCAAAGGCAACTTCTTTCTATTATTTAAACCACGACTTTTTTTTTTTTCTTTTTTTTTTTTTTTTTCGGTACACGGGCCTCTCACTGTTGTGGCCTCTCCCATTGCGGAGCACAGGCTCCGGACGCGCAGGCTCAGCAGCCGTGGCTCACGGGCCCAGCCGCTCCGCGGCATGTGGGATCTTCCCGGACCGGGGCACGAACCCGTGTCCCCTGCATCGGCAGGCAGACTCTCAACCACTGTGCCACCAGGGAAGCCCTAAACCACGACTTTTTATAGACAAGAAAACCTTTAAAATTTAGAGGGAATAACAAAACATATCTATAGCATTATTTTTTGAAAAGCAGTGAAAACTGAATAAAGCAAGAAATAGTTTTTAAAAATCTTTAAATGAAATAATTTCCTCTAGTAGCTGCTGAAACAAGTTCCATAATTGTGAAGTACAAATGACTTTCAGCAAAGTTGGAAGTTTGCAAAATAATTTATATTTAAGGTGGATGTTTTTTTTAATCAATGAATTGATACATTAAAAAGTAAGAGCAACCACCATCATCTCATTATTGCAGAAAACCGGATGCTCCTCAATGTAGTCAACTACTTATTTGCAGCAGTGGCACAAGTCTATAGGTTTTTAAATATAGGCTTTGTAAATTTTCAAGGGAGATCATAAAGCTCCTTCAACTTCTTCCCAGTGAAAGAAATTTAAGGGCAGTCAGGTGATAACAGTAAAGAACCTGCTACACAGAGCTTTAAAAGGAAAAAGGGAGAGGAAAAAAAATACAACTTCCCTTTGTTTTTTGGTTTTTTTTCCTCCCTTTAATTATTGTTAAAAATTTTACTGATATTTACTGGGCATGCTTCTTTTCAAATTATTGATTACTATTAAGTTAATGCTTCTTGCTTCACAATAGTTGTAGATTTATATGGTCAGATTTTACATTCTAACCATACGCACCAAAAATAAGAGTTTATCATTCTTAATACCAATAAAAATATTTATACTAGGTTGTTTTTATCCTCCGTTCATTGAAAGAAATTGAGCTGAATGCATTTGGAGATCCAGTAATTGAAACTGCTTTAAGCCTATAAAAAGATAGGCTGAACATATGCAGTGTACGGCTTTCATAAATTTTACATTATGCCTGATCAGGTGATAAATAATACAGATAAGAATGTTGAATACCCAAACAATGTAAGTAATTTGAAAAAGCAGCATTCATTTCTATAGTACAGGTACAAAGAGTATCTGTTAAGTTTCCTCACGTAGCCTGTGTTGCATAAATTGCTATTACAACTTTGATATTTTCAGTTTACCCTACTATAATTGCAAAACTTTTCATAACACAATAAGTGTATTCCTCTACATGTTCCAAGGCTTTAGTAATGATCCTAGCCTCTGAATTAGAAGGTTCTCAGAAAATCAAATGCACATCTAGCAGGTTCACTGTTATAGCAACAATGAGCAAACCTGGACCAAATAAACAGTCTGCTTCTTTCTACTTCAATATCAAAAAGGGCACTAAAGGGTATCAAAAACTAAACACTCCATCAGTGCAAGTTTCCATCCTTTCCATCAACATATTTAACCCCACTGTAAACGACCTAAAAGCATTTTCCAATACTGGACGTTAAAGATATCATGGTTACCAGTGGTGATGTCATCATCCACAAGGTCGTGCTCTTCCTCTTGGACTTTGGCTTCTGGCCCTGAGGCATCAGGAGCAGTGGTAATAGTCTGCATGGCTTCTGCTGAGACCCCAGCTAAAACAAATGGGAAGCACAAGGATTAGTTTTTAAAAACTAAAAGAAAGGTGGGGCTTCCCTGGTGGCGCAGTGGTTGAGAATCCTCCTGCCAATGCAGGGGACGTGGGTTCAAGCCCTGGTCCAGGAAGATCCCACATGCCGTGGAGCAACAAAGCCCGTGCGCCACAACTACTGAGCCTGCGCTCTAGAGCCAGCGAGCCACAACTGCTGAAGCCCATGCGCCTGGAGCCCGTGCTCCGCAACAGTAGCCACAGCAATGAGAAGCCCCGTGCACCGCAGAGAAGAGTAGCCCCTGCTCACCGCAACTAGAGAAAGCCCCCTCGCAGCAATAAAGACCCAACGCAGCCAAAAATAAATAAATAAAATAAATAAATTTACAAAAAAAAAAAGAAAGGTGGACCAAAACTCTTAAAGCATTTTAATTGACTTACTGGATGCAAATGCAATATGTTAAAAAAAAATACAATATATTCACCAAAATTGGGGAGAGAGAGAAATTAATGAACAAAATATTCATGTGTGTTCTATTGCTTTATATATATATATATGTGTATATATATATATATATATATATATATGTACATGGATGCAAACTATACTGACTTTTAACTAAGATCTGGGAACAGAAAAATGATGAAGTAAATTACAGTTTTACTTGATTCCTTTCAATGTTTTTGCTACAGTTACTTTAGCAAATTTAGACATAATTATGCTAAAAAGAGGGAGAAAAAAGCCTAGAGAGTGAAGGACTATTTTAAAAGTTTACTTCTCTTTAATATTAGTTTGCTTATAATTTGGGGGTTGGGAAGGAGGATGATGACAAAAGAGGGATTTGTGTTCTGATGCTGTGTAGAAGACCTGAAATGCATTGTTGCCCCAAGAGCATAATATCTCTCTGCCTCTGAAGGAATTAGATATGAGGTCAGATAATTATGGACGTGAAAGAACCTAACTGAAAGCAGACAGGTGAACTAGATCAGGGCACCAAAAACTTCCATTCTGTAAACCGCCTGAGAATTTGAAAGTTCATACAAAGGTCTTTTCCTTACTTACCTATTTTCCCATCTTTGATGATACATAGGTTCCCCCCCTCCACTATCTGAAAGTAGAGCACTGCTGTGAAACCTTTTGTAAGCCAGAATGATATAAAGCAAAGAAGCAATCACCTTAGGACACATCTTCCTAACAAATGCACAGGATTCAAGACAAAGCACAGATGCTCACAGACACAATTCAAACCAATGGCAGCTTGATGCTGAGATGCTGAGCTAGTTCCCAGGGAAGGAGCTTGGCGATACCACTCTAAGCCGCCCTTGGGGTGCCCGGCTCTGTAACAGCTCACTGCTAAACACACGCTGAGTGCTATTATTGCCTTTTGTCTTTTCTCATAAAAGCGAAAATCCTCTTTAGCTATCTTTCAATCAGCAAAAACAGGTACTAACGACAATCTTTCATAAAAGTGAAGGGTTGTAAAGCAAACTTTCAAAAAGAGGAGAATGCCTATATTTTGTTGTCAATTTGCATCTAATTAGGCAATGGATAGGAGGGGGTGTCCAATATTTTACACATGGTTACCAAGAGGTATTGCTCAATCATGGTATATAAAAATGTCACCCACTGGGACTTACTTCAGGAGTTGAACATTTTAATCAAATCTTCTTAATAAGTACTTCGATAACTGCACATATAAAATCCAACACAATATTTTTAAAACCAGAAGCTACAAATATTCCAGGATTTCTTTTCTTCCAAGATGCATTAACTGAATTTCTATATGAAATTCAACCTTGCTGCCTCAGGTTTATGAAAGGCACCAAGAGGAAGAATCTTAGTCATTAACCACCATGAATGATCCAGAAGTAGACCTACCAGTAGGCAGTTCCAAGGCCTAACAATTTAAATTTGGGGAGGAGAACGTCATTTTAGTGCAACCACTTTATTCAGTATTGCTCCAACAAAAGAATGAACAGTGCTAAATGAATGGTCCCCAATAACAAAAAATGACAAAGGCCATCCCTTTACAGCATCACTTTTGTTGTTAGGTTTTCAAGATAAAATTTTAAAATAAAGGGGAATTACTAGAAAAATAATATTATGTTAATTATTTGATTAAAGATGGTTATCAGTAAAATAATCACAAAGAAGAGATAAGAAGGTAAACGCCACATTTCTACAGACTTACTGCTTAAGCACAAAATCAAAGATCGTTGTTTCAGATTATTAAACCAAACTACAAATCTCTGAAATCTTTCAGTCTCATTCCATGCTTAACAGTTGATAATTTTGAAAATGATCAGAGAAACAGGGAAATGATATTAAGGAACAGTTTAGATGGCAACAATCATTTATTATTAGTATTTTCCTTTCCTGTAAAATTAATGGATTCCATGAAAATAAAGGTAGTATTTATGTGTAACAAGTTTATAAATCCATTTAAATTTATCTCATTTAATCAGAGAGGTCAAGTACTTGCTCGGCATAACACAGCTACTAAATTCAAGAACCAGTATTGATGTGTAGATCTTCCGATTTCAACCCCAATATCCTTTTACCAGTAAGTCCTCCCAGGGACTGAGTTGCTCAGGGCAGGATAGGAGGCATGACAGAATATCACAGCACAAGCATGAGAAGTCATGGAATCACATGATATTGAGTATAATTGCTGTGAAGTCCTCCATGGTGTTCTTGGGCTATACTAGACAACTGTTCAACTGAGGAACAGAGCTTAAGAAGCAAACGTGGATATCTCAAAGTAACCAAGGTTGAAAGACCAAGAAGTATCTATGCTGAAACTGGTTCTTTGATCGATGCTTTCCAAAACAAAGTAAGGGTTATAAAATCCTATATATCTTGGCAGAAAAAAAGAAAATAGAGTTGACCCTTGAACAATGCAGGGGTTAGGGGCACCAAACCTCTGTGTAGTCAAAAATCTGGGTGTAACTTATAGCTGGCCCTCCATATCCATGGATACAACCAACCACAGATCATGTAGTACTGTAGTATTTACTACTGAAAAAAATCCACATATAAGTGAACCCACTCAGTTCAAACCCATGTTGTTCAAGGGCCTACTGTACAAACAAACAAAAAAATAAAACTACAAATCCATATCTCACATGAATATAGTCTCAAAAATCCTTGACAAAATATAAGTACTACATTGATTTTTGAATCAGTGTAACACGATCCTTACATTAATTCAAAAAATCAATCAATGTAAACCAAAATATTAAGAGGTTAAAGAAGAAAAAAAATCATATGAACATGTTAATAACTTGATAAAATCTGACACCAATTCATGATTAAAAAAACCCCTCAGAAAAATACAAATAGAAGACAGAGAGGAACTTGTTCAAGTTAATAAAAGCACCTACTAAAAATCTGCAGCTAACATTATACTTAACAGTGAAAGGCTGAAAGCTTTCCTTCTGTGATCAAGAATGAAGTAAAGATGTCCACAATGCCACTCTTATTTAACATATATACAATGGAATATTACTCAGCCATAAAAAGAAACAAAATTGAGATATTTGTAGTGAGGTGGATGGACCTAGAGTCTGTCATACAGAGTGAAGTCAGTCAGAAAGAGAAAAACAAATACCATATGCTAACACATATATATGGAATCTAAAAAAAAAAATCGTTCTGATGAACCTAGGGGCAGGACAGGAAAAAAGACGCAGACGTAGAGAATGGACTTGAGGACACAGGGAGGGGGAAGAGGAAGCTGGGACGAAGTAAGAGAGTGGCATTGACATACATACACTACCAAATGTAAAATAGATAGCTAGTGGGAAGCAGCTGCATAGCACAGGGAGATCAGCTCAATGCTCTGTGACCACCTAGAGGGGTGGGATAGGGAAGGTGGAAGGGAGGTGCAAGAGGGAGGGGATATGGGGATATATGTATACATATAGCACTTCATTATATAGCAGAAACTAACACAACATTGTAAAGCAATTATACTCCAATAAAGATGTAAAAACAAAACAAAACAAAACAAAAAAACCCCACAGCATTGGAAATTTCTAGCCAGTGCAATAAAGCAAGAAAAGAAAACACATACAGTCTGGAATGGATGAGGTAATCCTACTCAATGAAAAAATAACTGTCTATGTGGAAAATCTAAATGAATCTACAAAAAATAAGCAAACTAATAAGTGAGTACAGCAAGGCTGCAAAATACAAGAAAAAAATTCTTAATTATATTTCTATATGTTAACAATGAATACGTGGACGCCTAAACTTAAAAGAAAAATACTAGTAATGCTAGTTCAAAAGAGACTGAAATACTGTAAAAAAAGACTGAAAAGACATAAATACAAAAAAAAAAGTAGATGAAACCTACAAAACACTGACAAAACATCGAAGGTATAAATAAATGAAATGGAGAGACATACCATGTTCATAGGTTGAAAGATTCTACATAGTAATAATGATGTCAATTTTCTGTATACAGGTTTAATGTAATTCCTATCAAAATCCCAGCATGATTTTTTGTACATACAGCCAAATATTTCTAAAATTATATAGAAAGACAAAGGAACTAGAATAGCTACAAGAATTTTTGAAAAAAAAATAAGATAGGAAAAATCAGCCAGCCCCATTCAAGACTTATCATTTAAAGTTATTAAAACTATTTGGTTTTAGGTTAAGCGAACAGAATAGAAAACCAGAAAAAGACAAGCACAAATATGTCCAATGTTATTTGACAGAGGTGCAAAAAGCAAATCAATGGAGGAAAGATAGCCTTTTCAACAAATGGGCTGCTAAAACTGGATATCCACACACAAAAAATATGAACTTTGAACTACGGCTCACACCTTATTTAAAAATCAACTCAAAATGAATCATGGACTTAAATGTAGAACATAAAACTTAAAAAAAAAAAATAGTAGGAGAAAATCTTTGGTACCTGAGGCCAGACTTGACACCAAAAGCACAATCCATAAAAGGAAAAACTGGTAAAGTGGACTTCACTAAAATTAAGAACTTTT